GAATTGTGTTGTTAAATTTTTGAAAGATGAGCGCAGGTGGTTTATACGCGATCGAGAAATTGGACGATACCAACTATTCTTCATGGGCTATCCAAATGAAAAGCGTTCTGGTGCACTCGGAATTGTGGCCTATTGTGTGCGGAAGGCTGGTGAAGGCTGTTGGTATAAATCCTTCTCAACTTAATCATATAAAACACTGCGTCACATCGCTGAAAGCTTGGAAACGAGATTTATCAACCGCGCGGACCAGCCTGCAAAATAACCATATTTAGAAAAATGCTCTACATACGTATGTCGGAAGGTCAACATATAAAAGAGCATATCAACGACTTCTATGTAATTTGGGAGCAGCTAAAAGAAATTGAAGTAACTGTACCAGAAGACCTGTTATCTATAATTCTACTTTCCAGTTTACCAAAATCATACGACAATTTTGTCGTTGCTATAGAGGCTCGCGACTCTTTACCAGCGCTGGAAATATTAAAAATAAAACTGCTGGAGGAAGGTGCGAGAAGGCTCGAGAGTGGTGAAGGTGAGGACGGTAGCGCATTTGAGAAAACGTTTGTCGCTCGAACAAATGTGCGCAAAGGTTACAATTGTAACAGGAGCAGTGGAAATAAAAGGTATACCAACCTCAAATGCTACAATTGTGGTCGACGTGGACACATCGCAGCTATGTGCAAAGAACCGAAAAAAAACGCAATTCGGAGGTGAAAAAACGTCGTTTGCTATTTTAGTATCCACTTCGTCGCTTGTTTTAAATAAACAAAATTGGTTTATAGACAGCGGAGTGACGAGCCATTTATGCTGTGACCGCGAGTTATTGAAAAACTACAAAGAGAAGGAGATAATTTTGTTAGCAGGAGACAATTACATAGAAGCGAGCGGAATAGATGAAGTTGACATAGGAAACGAAAGCTGCAGAATCACATTAAAAGAGGTGTTATATGTGCCAGCTCTCAAAAGTAATTTCGTGTCGGTAAGCAAGGCAGTACAGAATGGTTTGACTGTCAATGTTGCTAATATGCAGTTAATAATAAAAAACAAAAGTGGTACTGTCCTCATGAAAGCAAAAGAGTGTTGCGGCTTATTCGTATTTGAAAATAAATTAAATACGTGTTTTAAATTAACGAATGACTATAGCAATATATTAGACTGGCACAATAAATTCAGACATTTAAACTTTCAAAGTTTAAAAGAAATGTGTAACAAAAAGTTAGTACACGGCCTAACATTGAAAAACATTCCAACAAAAATACAATGTACAACATGTGCGGAAAGCAAAATTTGCGTTAACAAATTTCCACACGAGACACAGAATCGTGCGCGAAAGTTATGTGAGATTATCCATACGGACATTTGTGGGCCTATAAATGAAAAGTCAATCAGAGGCTCTCGATACTTTCTGACATTTATAGACGATATGTCCCGATATGTATGTGTTTATTTCTTGAAAAGTAGAGACGAAGTTTTTTCTGCATTTAAATCGTTTAAAGCAATGGCTGAAAAGCAAACGAATTGCCAAATAAAAATATTGCGTAGTGAAAATGGTCGCGAATAATTAAACAAAAATTTTGAGAATTTTTTAAATGAAAATGGAATTGTTCGCCAACTAACTGTGCCTCACACTCTTCTAAAAACGGTGTCGCTGATCGTGCCCATAGGACACTTGTTGAAATGGCAAGAAGCATGATTGCACACAGTGGGTTAAGTGAGTGCTTTTGGGCGGAGGCAGTAGCAACTGCAGCTTATTTGCGAAACAGAGCTGCGACAAAATCACTCACGAACTGTACTCCATATGAAGCGTGAACATTTAAAAAGCCAAGCGTCTCACATTTGAAGGTATTTGATTCACTAGCGGTCGCGATTGACAAAACAGAGAAGAGGAAATTCCAGCCAAAGGGTAGGAAGATGGTTATGGTAGGCTACTCAAATACTTTAAAAGCCTATCGATTATACGATCCAGTATCCAAAAAAGGGATCGTGTGTCGAGATGCCATTTTTGTCGATGGTACGTACGCCTCTCAAGAAGAAAATACTGGTGATATCGTTACTTTTGATACTGCAGATATAGTGACCGCAATGGAACCTTCTGTGACTGAAGACACAACTCTTGGTCATGACGTGAGTAGGAATTTGCAACCCACACGTGTTGGTCGAGGCAGACCAGCGTTTGTTTGCACAGGTAAGCGTGGGCGTCCTCGTAAAAGACGTCATGTGCTCAATGTGATGAAAGCAGTTGACGTTGAAATTCCAAGAACTGTAGTTGAAGCCTTGAATAGTAAACACTCAAAGCAATGGACTAATGTAATGCAGAAGGTGTTCGACGCCTTGGTAAAAAATAAAACATGGTATTTAGTTGATTTGCCTGCTGGGGTAAAGCCCATTGGTTGCAAATGGGTTTATTCTGTTAAACAAGATGCAGATGGCAATGTGCGTTAATTTCAGTGAGACATTTTCACCTGTGGTTAAGTACGCAACGATTCATTTGGTGATTGCTCTAGCCTGCGAGTACATTTGCACTTGCATCAGATAGACGTTTCGTCAGCGTACCTGAATAGTGAACTTCAAGACAAGATTTATATAAAGCAACCCGAAAAATTCGTTTACGAGCAGTTCCCAAATCGTATCTTAAATTAAATAAGGCACTCTACGGCCTAAAGCAAAGTGGGCGTGAGTGTAATGGCAAGCCCAATGCGGTCTTAAAAATATGGGCTTTACGCCGTGTGCTAGCGAACCATGCGTTTATATAAAAAACAAACAACGCAAATACAACATCATAGCAGTTTACGTTGATGATCTTCTGCTAGCCTCTTCCAACTTGAGAGATCTGAACGATATCGAGACTAAAATCTCAAAAGAGTTCGATATTGTAGATGGTGGACCAGCGAAATACTTTCTCGGGATGGAAATTGAGCGCGATGGCGATGCGGGTAATATTGCTATTAGTCAGCGTCAATATATTTACGATTTGTTAATGCAAAATGGTATGGAGGCAAAGCTGTATCAAAACCACTAGAAGTTGGATTTCAAACAAGCTGCGACAAAGATGAATGCGCTAAGGTGAATACAACTGAGTACCAATCGCTGATCGGCGCACTCGTGTACCTTGCAATATCCACCCGCCCAGATATTATACACTCAGTATCTAAACTGGCGCAACGCAATACTGACCCACATATAGAACATAAAACTGCCGCAAAGCATATCTTGCGTTATTTGAAAGGGACAGCTGAGTTCAAACTGCATTACAACAAGTAAGAAAGTCTAAGTTCGGGCGGAGCCGAACATTAAATACCCGGCGCAAGTATTAAATATATGATTTTCACCTTTCCGAAACCTACCGATAGATGGTAAGCCGGGGTGTATAAATTTTGAGTAAATTAACGTCCTTAAATTTCGAAATATTGCAGTTTCAAGCATTTTTGAAATTTACCGTTATATGAAAAGCGGCCGTAATTTTAGTCCGATTTCAATAATTTTTAAAGTTTTGCTTTTATGTGGCAAGCACAATAACCATGCCGAGTTTGGTACAAATTGCTAGAACGGTTAGCGAGATACATATATGTGATCACAAGTAGGCGGTGCCACGCCCATTTTCCAAAATTTTATCATAAACATAATTCTTGGTAAATAATTGTTGCAACCACCAATTTTGAATAAATTTGCTTTAATATTTACTGATNATAATTCTTGGTAAATAATTGTTGCAACCACCAATTTTGAATAAATTTGCTTTAATATTTACTGATTTATCGAAGATTTT